TCCTCCTCCTCCTCCTCCTCCTCCTCCTCCTCCTCCTCCTCCTCCTCCTCTCCCTTGCCCCCATCTCCCCTTGGTCCGTCCACTGCATAGTCTAAGGAGCTGCAGATCAAGAAGCAGTTCCAGGAGACGTGTAAGATCCAGACTCGGCAGTACAAGGCCCTGCGGGCACACTTGCTGGAGACCACACCCAAAGCTCAGCACAAGAGCCTCCTTAAGCGGCTCAAGGAAGAACAGACCCGCAAGCTGGCGATTCTAGCCGAGCAGTATGACCAGTCCATCTCAGAGATGCTCAGCTCGCAGGCGGTGAGGCCTGGGGTCCAGGGAGGGAGCGTGGTGGAGGCTGGCCTTTGTACTCCCGCCTTGGTTATGGGAAGTTGGAAGTGGGGGAGTGCGGGGAAAGATGGGGCTTTTGTTCTTGGGGGAAACTTGGATACTCTCCCACTGTTAGTATTCTCCACAATGGTTTTTTTTTTTATCTCTCTTGAGTATTTTCTTAAGGTCTTGACAAAGCCAGCCTGACTACTCTACCAAGAACCACCAAGGAAAGAGTGGCTATAATTGTTTCCTGGGCCTGAGTTAGTTTAATGTGTGAACAGGGAGCAAATCAAAATGATCGTGGCCCTTGGGCCAATTTACCCAGACTTCTGAGGATTTTGAAGATTGCTGTTCCAAAAGTGATCACACAACAACACTGGAATGGGCCAATTAAAAAATACCCATAGCGTAAAAAGTGACAGTGCCCCTATTCATTGCCATTCTCTCACCCAATCCCATTCTCTGACCCAATCTCAGTTAACTGTTAATAATTGTATTTTAGGTTTTTTCCCTATGCATATTTGAAAGATTACACAAAATTATAAACAAATGTAGGATTGTGTTGTACATACTGCTCTCTTCTTTTTCCACCTAGTATTTCTTGGACATTTTTCCATGTCAGTACACCTATCTCATTTTTTAAACAGTGTAGAGTTTTCCATGGTATGGACGTACCATAATTTATTTAACCCATCCCTTATTGGTGGACATTTAGGTTGTTTCCAGTATTTTGCTATCACAACGCTTCAGTGAACACCTTCGAGCACATGTGCAAGTATACCTGGGGGATAAATTCCTGGAAGTGTAATTGCTGTGTCACAGGGTATGGCGACCTTTCATTTTGATAGATGTTGAGACTGGCTGCTTCTTGAAACCTTAGGGCCCAGGCCTACCTGGGGCAGGGGAGGATTGCGGGGGTGGGGGAGGAGGCCCCTAAAATTAGTTCTCCCTGTTTGCCAGCTACGGCTTGATGAGACCCAGGAGGCAGAATTCCAGGCCCTTCGGCAGCAGCTGCAGCAGGAGCTGGAGCTGCTAAACGCCTACCAGAGCAAGATCAAGATCCGCACCGAGAGCCAGCATGAGCGGGAGCTGCGGGAGCTGGAGCAGAGGGTGGCTCTGAGGCGGGCGCTGCTGGAGCAGCGGGTAAGGGGGCTCCGGCACCAAGAGGCGCTGGGGAGGGCAGGCTCCCCACCTCCTGCCCCCAGATGCGCTAACCTCTTTTCTGGGTGTCCCAGGTGGAAGAGGAGCTGCTGGCCTTGCAGACAGGGCGCTCCGAGCGAATCCGGAGTTTGCTCGAGCGGCAGGCCCGTGAGATCGAGGCTTTCGATGCTGAGAGCATGAGGCTGGGCTTCTCCAGTATGGCTCTGGGGGGCATCCCAGCCGAGGCTGCTGCACAGGGCTATCCTGCTCCACCTCCTGCCCCTGCCTGGCCCTCCCGTCCTGTTCCCCGATCAGGGGCACACTGGAGCCATGGCCCTCCTCCACCGGGCATGCCCCCCCCCAGCCTGGCGTCAGCCCTCTCTGCTGGCTCCTCCGGGTCCCCCAAACTGGCTGGGGCCCCCCACACAGAGTGGGACACCTCGTGGTGGAGCCCTGCTGCTGCTAAGAAACAGCCCTCAGCCCCTGCGGCGGGCAGCCTCAGGCGGCAGTGGCAGCGACAACGTGGGCCCACCTGCTGCTGCAGTGCCTGGGCCTCTGAGCCGTAGCACCAGTGTCGCTTCCCACATCCTCAATGGTTCCTCCCACTTCTATTCCTGAAGTGCAGGGTGGATGAGCAGATGAATGGGGCAGGGGCAGGGGTGGGTGGAGCCGGTTCCTGGAGGGCTGTAAGCTTGAGGTCCACCCACAGGTGGGGGACAGGATGTTGGCTCCAGCTCCCCTTAGACCTCCTCATCTCATGAGCTTCTTGGGCTGGCCAGTGGCCCAGGGCCAGCTTGGGCCTCGGTGCCTCAAGGCTGACCAGGAGCCCTTGCCTCCCCACCATGGTGCCAGGGTCTCTCTCCATCACAGCCTTGGGAAAGGAGGGAGATGTGCGTGTCAAATATTCATCTGGTCCCCTGGGGGAGGGGAAGGGTGGGTCTAGATATATTATATTCAGAGAACTATACTACCCCCTGTAATGGGGCCATGGACTGGGGATGCCAGGCCCCCCAGACCTGAGGTGTGGCAGAGCAGGTCTGGGTGGGGAGAACAGAAGGAAAAGGCCTTCCTAGGAAAGGATCAGGATGTTGTCTTGGGGTCAGGATGCCTGGTCTCTCCATTCCCCCGTTGCTGTCTGACGTCCTGTGCCGTTTTGTCCTTTATCTTTTTTCTTTTTCTTTTTCTTTTTTTTTTTTTTTTTTTTTATTGAGATCAGAGCTGGGGCAGGGGAACAAGGGAAGGACCTTGGAAGGGGCTGCTTCCAAACCTGGGGGCAGTCGTGGGAACCCCTCCCAGCTATGGGGTTGGCACAGAGCCCCACAGCAAGCTTTTAATAAACTGTTGGTTATTCTAACAGACCCCGGGACTCACCCTTTCTGTCTAAAGTGTGTATTAAGGACTGTTCGTGGGAGGTGATAGTGTCATTTGTATTTAAAAAGAGAATTTATTGGGATGTGTAACTAAAAATTTCAGTGATTTTAATGACTTCGGGTAGGACTGGATCCACAACTTGAAAGGAGGTCATCCATCTCCTGACTTCTGCTTCCCTTTGTTTTGACTTCAAAGATTTCAAAAGGTTCACTTCACACCAGGCTCCTGGCAGCTCCAAGCCTGTATCTTCATAGCAATCTCAACAGCAAGAATGCCAGCAAAGTCCTAAAGTGACTTCATTGGCTCAGTCTGTAGCCAGAGGCCTGGGGTACTCCTGACCAGATCTATGCCCTGTACCCACCCCTTAAAGGCTAAAAGAATTGGCTCAGGGACTAAATGGCTGTTTCCAGGGGGAAAAGGAAGACCTACACCAGCTGTCCCCAAGTTCTATCATTATGTTCCTCACATTCTTCTTTTTTTTTTTCAACGTTTTTTTATTTATTTTTGGGACAGAGAGAGACAGAGCATGAACGGGGGAGGGGCAGAGAGAGGGAGACACAGAATCGGAAACAGGCTCCAGGCTCTGAGCCGTCAGCCCAGAGCCCGACGCGGGGCTCGAACTCACGGACCGCGAGATCGCGACCTGGCTGAAGTCGGACGCTTAACCGACTGCGCCACCCAGGCGCCCCCATGTTCCTCACATTCTTCTTAAGGCCAGTTACTCAGACCTTCCTCCCAACTAGGCATTAGGTTATGATAGCTAAAAGCGTGATGATAATGAGGGCCCTGCTGGTCAGGCTGGAGGAAGAAGGGTAGGAGCCACCCTCTTCTCTGATAGAGCCTGGTGGCAGATTGGATGGCAGGGTCTGGAGGCTGGGACTTCCTTTGGAGAACCTGAGGGAAATGAAAGGGAATGGGGTGGGGTAGGGAGGCAATGGCTACTCACCTTCCTGGCCCACGGTATAGGGGTAAGAGAGGGGACCGGTTTTTTGTTTCACTATTTTTTACGTTTATTTATTCATTTTGAGAGAAAGAATCTAAAGCAGGCTTTGTTCTGTCAGCACAGAGCCCTACATGGGGCTCAATCCCATGAATCATGAGATCATGACCTCAGCCCAAACCGAGAGTTAGTCACTTAATCTTATTCAAGTAATCTCTACACTTCGAACTCAATGACCCCGAGATCAAGAGTTGCTCCTCCCAACTAAGCCAGGCACCCCCCCGAATGGGGACCAGTTTTGACCAAGTGATTCAAACAACTCCTTTATTGAGTCTTAAAAAATAATCCCTGTAAACACCTTAAACTGAGAACGTGAAGCTGAGAAGTAGGATCCCAACAATTTGTGTCCTTGAAGAAAGTCCTCTGAAGAAAGCGGCTTCTGCTCTGCAGGCACAGATTGGAGCGGGGGGGTTGGCGGGCGGCATATCTGCTTTCTACAAGTGGAAAGCCTCCTGGGGAAGGTGAGGAGCTCAGTTACTCTCCCCATCACTGCTGATGATGCCACGCATATGTGACCAATCTGGGGGTGGGGGGCGGGGCTGTTCATCCTCTGAGCCCAAAGTCCGGCAGTATAGCTCCCCTGGGGGATCTGCTTCTCCTGAAGGGTTCCAAGCCGTGCGTCTGCGTGGCCGACCTAGATTGGGGGGCAGGAAAAGCAGGAGATCAGTTGTCTGAGAAAATCCTAGCCCCACCTCTTGGGGAGTGGGAGGAAATCCCTCACCTGAACCACTGATGATGTTGGTAATGTCCAAGGAGGCTACCTCAGCCGCCTCCTCCCGCTGCTCCTTCAGGGCCCGACACTTCTCTAAGGAAGGATTGCCTGGGGCAGAAGAGGTTCATGATCCTCTCTTCCCCAGCAGCCAACGCCCTCTCCCACAGCCTCCAGGGCACACCCGGCCTCACCCTTCATGCCCAGGGCTTCCAGCTCTGCCCGGAGGACACTGAGGCGCTCCTTGTGTGAGCGGCAGGGGCCCAGAAGCTTCTTGTAGTTTCTATGGGCACCACAGGCCCGAATGTAGCGCTTTAGCCTCATCACGGCTGGGTGGTCCTCACCACGGCGACCGGAGCCAGCCTGGCAAGGAAAAACCGCAGCTGAAGGCCAAACCTTCAGAGTTTGAGACGAGGTCTCCGTCTTCCCTAAAGGTGGCCTCCCAGCCCATCTTCACCCTCACCTTCCTGCCTTTGGACTGCGGACTGCCATCTGTGGAAGAGGAGGAGGAGCTTCGTGCCCGGCCTTTCCTGGAGCTTTTCTTGGAAGAGCGGTTCCCCCTCTCCCCCTTAGGGCTATCCTCTGCCTCACTGTCACTCACCTCCCTCTCTGAGTCACTCGCCTCACCACTGATACCACCCGCTTTGGCTGTCTTTCCAGCACCTTCAGCAGGTGGTTTCACCTTTCTCCAACTGTCTTCCCCATCCTCGCTGCTTCCACTCTGCCTTTTCCCACCTTTCTGCGGGGTCCTGTCCTTGCTCTTTCTCTGCACCAGGGGCTCTTCATCTCCCCCGCTGTTATCCCCACTGCCTGCTGCTGCTTTTTCCTCTTCTTCCTCTGTTTCCCCCAAGTCTCCTAGTAGCCTGGCTGCCCTGCTTTTCTGCTCGCAGCTCCTCTCCTCCCAAGCTGACTTTTTCCCTCCACTGCCCCGGGCTCCAGCTTTCCAATCCTTTTCCTCTTTCTCTCTGTTCTCTTTCTTCTTGGCTATGGTGTCTTCCTCCTCACTGTCCTTTGCACTTTCCTGGTGGCTTTCAGCACCTTTCTTTCCCTCCACCTTCTTTCTTGTCCTCTGGGCAGGTTCCTCCTCACTGTCTTCACTCTCTTTCCTGGCCTGCTTCCTACTGGCTGAGGTTTTGCCCGGTGCCTGCTTATTCTTTGTCACAGGTTTCTTCCCAATCCTGCCTCTGGACTCCTCCTCGTCCCCTTCCTCATCTTCCTCACTGCTCTCTTCCTTTGAGACCTTACTTGTTCTGGCGGAGCCCTCTTTCTCCTCCCCACTGCTCTCCTTCACCTCCCTCTCTAATCCAGTCTTTGCAGCCAGGTCCCTCTGCTGTTCCTCATCACTGCTCTCCTCAACTGCTTTCCTTGAGGCTCGCTTTGGACTCTCCTCCTCTGCTGAACTGACTTCTGCTGCCATCCCATTCTTTGCTGAGAGGCCAAAACAGTCTGGACTGGAGGCTGCAGAGCTGGGCTCTGGAATATGGAGAGAAAAGAAGGTTGGGATGGGTTCCTCCTGTCCCTTCTCCCTCCACTTGGGATTGGTTACCTCTGACAGATGGAGGGAAGGGCAACAGAAAACACAGCTATCAATCGGTCCACCCTATTCCTGGTTCCTGACTCACTGGCCTCGTACCCTCATCTAATGCTTCGGGATATAATGCATGCACGATACTTTTTGAAAAAAAAAATTTTTTTCTCCACGTTTTTATTTATTTTTGGGACAGAGAGAGACAGAGCATGAACGGGCGAGGGGCAGAGAGAGAGGGAGACACAGAATCGGAAACAGGCTCCAGGCTCTGAGCCATCAGCCCAGAGCCCGACGCGGGGCTCGAACTCACGGACCGTGAGATCGTGACCTGGCTGAAGGGACGCTTAACCGACTGCGCCACCCAGGCGCCCCATGCACGATACTTTTTGAATGAACCAACTATACAAAAGTCACTAACCTGACTCCGAATCGAAACGGAACCTTTTTCTCCCAGGGCCACTGCTGGGGGTGGGAGGCCTCTTAGCCTTCTTGGCAAGATCTGGCCTCTCTTCCCTGGCACCTGCTTCATCCACCTGCGTGGGCGCAAGAGGTCAAAACGTGTAGGAAGGTTGTGTTCCCTACGCCATCCCAGGCCCCTCCTCCTCAGCAACAAACCCCGCCTCCCAGGGCCCAGGCTCGCGCCCACACCTGCACTTTCAGCAGCTCCTTCTCCACCAGCCGCTTTAGTGCTTGCTTCTCGTCGGGTTCCAGGTGGTCGCGGCCCGCGTGAGCCAAGAACCTCCGCCGCACTATGGAGTGCGTGAGCGTGCTGCGGAGACATGTGTCACGACGGAGTCCCCGTCCCGCCCCTGCCCTTTCCAACCCCAATTCCAGTCTCTAGTGCACCTGAGGTCCGGGCGGCCTCGGAAGAAGCTACGGATGAACTCCTGCATCTCGTTCTCCCGCGCCATTTTGCTCCACCTGGGATTGGTGGCTCCCGCCTTTTTTTCTTCTCGGCCTCCGTCACCGCGTTTGACAGGAGCTTGCGCACTCGGGAGGGTCGTGACGCGGTGAGGGGAGGGACGGTTGGGGGTCGGTGGCGGGTCGCTTGGACCGAGAACTTTGCCAGACAAAACTTGTTTTCCTCGGGTAGTTGGAGGGTCTCGCGGCTCCTTTTCTTAGGACCAATCGTTTTTTCAAGTTCTCGTTAGAAACCGACTGGGCGCCCGCAACCTTTGGGTGTAACGTAATCAACCTGCGACACTGCCTCCTCTCGTCGTCACAGGCCCTAGCTAGGCGACTGTGATTTCGAAAGACAGATGGAAAAGGATATCCTCGCCTGAAAACTAAGAATCCCTGGAGGCAAGTCTTGCGGCTTCTGATTGCTAAGCACATCTGGAATCAGTAAACGTGCCTCCGTCGTCCGCCATCTTTATGACCTCATCGCGTCGCTGCGACGCCATCTTCAGCGTAGTCCCTGGAAGCAACGTTCCTTTCCCGGTGTTCTCTAAGAGGGCAGCCCCTGTGGTTAAAGATCCCTGGGCGCAGGGTACGCCGGGAGTTGTAGTCCCAGCGGACACAGCCTTGCGGAGTCTCCGGAAGTGGAGGCGTGAGAAGCCGGGCTGAGCAGGCTCCGGGTAGCGGGACGCCCGACTACTGCTGGGGCACTGCTCCCGGGGCAGGTCATGAACGGGCCGGCGGACGGCGAAGTGGACTACAAGAAGAAGTACCGGAACCTGAAGCGGAAGCTCAAGTTCCTCATCTACGTGAGTGCTGCCGTGAGAGGTTGTGGGGGGTGAGGCCTGGAGTCTGTAGGACCTCAGTTTACCCACGTGTAAAGGGGAGTGGAGTGAACTGTCCCCAAGTCCCGGGCGTCTTTACGGGTGGCCGTTGGCTCAGCGCCCCACCTTCCCTGTGATACAGGAACACGAGTGCTTCCAGGAGGAACTGAGGAAGGCGCAGAGGAAGTTGCTGAAGGTGTCCCGGGATAAGAGGTGGGACACGGTGGGGGTGGGGGAGTGGGGGGAAGGGGAATGCCTGCGGGTGATATGGCTCCTGTGGGTCTACATTCGGACCCTGTCCTTGGAATTAGGCCACAAATGCATGGCGCCTTCCTTGGGGCTGTTGCAAGGATCCAACGGGCCGGCTGGACGGGACAGGGTTCCGGGAGAATGTTACTGAGATGGCAACAAACACTCTTGTTCTCCCCGCCTCTTCCCTTAGTTTCCTCCTAGACCGACTTCTGCAGTACGAGAACGTGGATGAAGATTCTTCTGGTGAGCAAGGTCATGAAAAATTGTTGGAGGACATGGCTCCTGGCACTTCAGCAAGCCTCCTGGGCCCCTCCTTTTAGGCTGCGGAGGCTGATAAAAAACCTCCGGTGGTTCTTAAATCTATCGGTTATCCTTCACTCAAGCATTTATTGCTTTGCACAGGGGATACAGTGGAATTTGCATTCTGGTTGAGGGTGATAGAAAAGCAAAGCAGCTAGGGTCTCAGATGTGAAAGGAATAAAATCAGGGTTGTATGGTAGTGATTGGAGCAGAGCAGGGGTTGATAAGCTTTTTCTGTAAAGGACCAGGTAATAAATAGTTCACGTTTTGCAGAGCTGTTGCAGCTACCCAGTTCTGCTGTGGTGGTGCAAAAGTAGCCAGAGGTGATCTGTAAATAAATGAGCTTGGATGTGTTTCAATAAAACTGTATTTATGGACACTAAAATTTGAATTTCATGTAATTTTCACATGTCATAAATAGCATTTTTTTTTATCCCTGCCCCCAACCATTTGAAAATGTAAAAGCCATTCTTAGTTTGCAGACCGTGTAAAAGCAGGTGACAGGGAGCGTCAACAGTGCTCAAGAAAAGCCTTTTTCAGGAAGTAATATTTGAGCTGAGACCGAGATAAGAAGCAGAAATCAATCTTGGAAAGATAGAAGGGAGAGATTTTCAGGTGGAAGAAATGACAAAGGCAGAGGGAAGAACAGACCAGGCTGTCTGGAGAGCAGCAGGGCTGAAGCATGTAGTGTTTCCAGACTTTGTTTTGAGCATGGGACTCATTACATCAGACCAGGTCCCCCCGTGCATACTTACTTATAAAACAATTTAATGAAAAAACAATGTTAAGATCATTGTATACAATTTGTTCTGTTGGTGTGTAGACTTTTTTCTTTCTTTCTTTCTTTCTTTCTTTCTTTCTTTCTTTCTTTTTTTTTTTTAAACTTAATGCTGGTTGCAAACCAGTCAATTGACTTGATGACCCCACTAATGGATTGAGACCCACAGTTTGAAAAAGTACAAAGGTGGGCGTTTGTGGTCCCGTTCCAGGGTCCGGTCCATGTAACTCATTTGAAATACGGTCACCTCTTCCCCGTGGTGCCTTTAAACACTGGTCTGGAGCAGGGGTGGGCAAGCAACAGTCAACGAGGCTGTTTGCTTTTGTAAGTAACGTTTTATTGGAACACACGACGCCCATTTGTTTATGTATGATAGGATGGCGGATGATGCGTGAGATCAGAGAAACAAGCAGGAGCCAGCTCGTGTAGGTCAAGGCAAAACGTTTGGCTTTTTATTCTTGTTTCTCATTGTCTATCTACTCCTTTTCTGAGATCTTCCAGTTAGTTTGCTGTTTGAGGGGGGACTTCGGGACAGGAGCTATGAGAAAACCAGCAAGTTCACGGTCACAGTGGAGTGAATCTGAGGGGTGACAGCCACAGCTGTCAGCCACCACTCCTATCCGGGAAAAGCCCACAGTCTGGTCAGGGAGACACCCACACACGACACATCTTAGCACAGTGTGAGGAAAACCATGACAAGTGAGAGTAGCGAGTTGTGGGAGAGCCCGCAATTAACTGAGCCTGAAGGATTCCAGAAGGATTCTTCCCAGAGAGGTAGCATTTAATCCGCTTCCTAAAGGATCTCTCTGAGCAGGGAAATTGGGAACGGCATATGATCACGGGTCTCGGGTTTTTTTGTTTCTTAAGTTTATTTCGTGTGAGAGGTGGGGAGGGGCGGAGAGAGAACCCCGAGCAGGTTCCACACTGTTAGCGCAGAGCCCATTGTGGGGGCTCGAACTCACAGACTGTGAGATCATGACCCAAGCTGAAGTTGTCCGTCTAACCAACTGAGCCACACAGGTGCCCCTGTCAGTTATTTGGAAATGAACCGTGGGCCTTCGAGGTGAAGTACAGAACCGAGAGATGAATTTCTTTTTGAGAACATAGGTGGGCATGATGTGGATAGTACAGTTTGGTTGGGAGACCAGAAAGGTAGGTTGAGACCAGATTAAGAAGCACTCCGAGTGCTTGCAGGCAGTGGGGAACGTCACCAGGAAGGCCGTGATCGACTTTACCTTTAGATCATTCTGGAATTGAAGTACTCAGTGGGTGGAGGGAGAGGTGAGATTGCTTAGAGGTGATTTTGATGGTGGCCCGACCTAATAAAGGCCAGTGGTCTAAAGTGGTCAAGGAGTCAGAGATGTGGGTTCAAGTCCCAGCTCTACACTTTGCTCTCTGAGCCATAGTGGCCTCCTATGGAAAATGGATGTGATGCCCTCAACTTCCTCCTTGGTTGGTTATGAAGACAGGGAGTAACAGTGACCCAGAACACTCTTTCAGAGCCTGGCACACAGTTAAGTGCTTGACAGATGTGTTATGATGGAGTCCAGGCAGGAAGTCCATTGTCAAGGACGTTTCAGGAAGCTGGAGAGGCTGTGGGCCTCCCAGCATAGCATGTATGTGCCATCTGGGGAGTCAGGTTCCCTGGGCCCCTTCCATAGAGTTGAGATTGCACCTCTCTGAGGTAGACTGGAACCCCCCTCCCCCCGCTGCCCCACTGATCAGCCCTCCCCCCTCACAGACTCAGATGCCACTGCATCTTCAGATAACAGCGAGACAGAGGGAACACCCAAGTTGTCGGACACGCCAGCCCCCAAGAGGTGAGAAGAAGCCATCATTCTTCTCTGGGGGTGGAGGGTAGGGGGGGTACCTGGGCTTCCTAGCTGCTTCTGACCAGCCCCCTCCCCTGTCATTTCTCCAGGAAGAGAAGCCCTCCACTGGGGGGTGTCCCCTCCCCCTCCAGCCTCTCCCTGCCTCCTTCAACAGGGTTTCCCCTTCAGGCCTCGGGGGCCCCCTCCCCATACCTGAGCTCGGTGAGTTGGGGTCAAGGGTGGGAAGTATAAGTGAGATGCCTGGGAAGAAGGTGGGCATCGTTTGGGCAGATGGGCCTCATGAGGGGTGAGGCCGGCCCAGCCCTGGGGGCGTCTGTCTGGGTGTGACCAGCAAGCGTTCCTTGGAGGGGTGTGAGTCGGGGCTGCCTGCTTCTCTCTGGCGTAGGAATGGGGGACAGACATGACTGAGGAGAGCAGAGCTCAGGACAAAGTCCTGCTGCTGTCCCCTCCCCTTCTGTTCTCAGGAGCCACACTCATCACCATCTCTTGTTTTTCCATTCTTCCTCCTGTTTGCGTTTCTTCCCTTCACCCCCCACCCCATCCACTCCATTTCCCATCTCCATCCCCCTGACTCCTGCCTGCAGCTGGCTTCCCCTCCCTACCCCCCATTCCCTTCCGACTACCTGGCCCTGCAGCTGCCCGAGCCCAGCCCCCTGAGGCCCAAGCGGGAGAAACGGCCCCGCCTGCCCCGGAAACTCAAGGTACCCTGATTGGGGAATGTTAGGGAGGGGCCAGGATGGCAGCAGGACAGCCAGCTGAGGGAGGCTCAAGACAGGGGCTGGGGCCTGTCCAAAAACTTCCAGGGATTGATTTAGGGCTGCTGGGGGCCCAACCCAGGGCCAGGCGCCGAGGGCCAGGTGAGAGAAGCGCTGGCCCATAGGCTTGGTGAGGAGAAAAATGAGGGGTAGGACCAGCCTTGTGGGACTCAGAGTGAAGACTCCTGGAGGCCAGTCTCGTCTTTCATAGCTGTTCTGTGATGCCAGGCAGTCCCAGGGGACAGGTAAAGTTGTGGACAGTCAAGTCAAGGCTGCACCAGTTAAAAACCACGTGACCATGAGCAGGTCTCTCTGACCCTCTAGATCTCCAGTTTTGCGTCTGTAAATGAATGAGTGATGAACAAGGGTTTCTGGAGCACCAACTATGTACCAGGTACTGTCTTAGGTACTGCAGATGCAGTAGTAAACAAAAGAGACAAGAAATCCCTGTTCTAGCAAAAGCAGGGGAAAATGGACCCGATAAATCGGTGCCAGTGCTAAGACATGGAGCCAGGTGAAGAGCATGGGAAACTCCAGGGTAGATAGGAGCTGGTACTTATGGGGGTCTGGTCTGGGACGGTATTCGGTCAGAGGCTTAAAAGAAAGGAGAACCAGCCATGCGGCTCTCTGGGAAAGTGTTCCAGGGAGAACAGGCAGCGTGAAGGCCCCGTGGAGGGTGGGTATTTGGCTTGTTCAGGGACCAGGAAGGAGGTCGGTGTGGTCGGAGGCAAAGGAGGGGTAGGTGGGGGAGTGAGTAGATCAGAGAAATAACCAAGGGGCAGGATTGTGGAGAGCTTTCCGGGTATCGTAAAGATTTTACTTGTGCTGCGAATAAAGCGGAGAGCCATGGTAGAAGGTCGGGCAGAGAGGAATCTGCTCCAGTTTACGTGGTTCGCTGCTGTGTGGAGAGTGGACTGGGGAGGGGCTGGGTCAGGATGGATGTGGGGAGACCTCCAGGGAGGCTCCTGCGGGGAAGCGGGTAGAGCCGCTGAGAAGTGGCTGCTGGATCGATTTCAAAGATTGAGCCATGGGAAGACCAGCACGGGCTGTGGGAGAGAGCAAAGGCAAGGGCGAGTCCAGGGTGTGGGTCCCGAGCCAGGGAAGAAGTGGGCTAGCCTTTCTCTGGGACCAGGAGATCTGGGAGGAGCAGCTTTGGGAGGGAAAACGAGTTTGGTTGTGGATGCATCAAGATGTTGGCTGGAAATGCCAGCCAGACAACAGAGGAACGTGAGCCTGGGGCTCGTGGGTGCGCGTTTTGAAGTCATCAGTGTGGAGGCGGGCGCGATTATTGGGTGAGAACGTGGATGGAGAACAGAAGAGGCCTGTGCACTGAGCCCCAGGAGAGATGGGGCACAGAGGACACAGTGCCCTCCCAGCTCTGAATCCAAGTGGAATTCAGACTGGGCAGGACAGCTTTCAAAGTGGGTAGACTGTAGACGCAAGGCCCTGGAGCCAGGAGCAAACTGAAAGGTCGCTTTGTGGCGATTAGGAGTGTGGGTTTTGGAGTTCACATCTCAGCTGTGTCTCTTACTCCTTCGGTGACCTTGGGTCTTGAGCCTGAGAAATGGGTAGATCATGCGTGATAATGCTGGCCCTTCGATCTCCTTGGCAGGGATTTTGCTTCTCGTCTGTAGGGCAGGATGGTGGAGAAAGCAGGGGTCAGCGAAGCCTGGAGCGGATGGGTAGGGGTGTGGCATGGCGGTTTGAGGCTTTCTAAAGTGCTGGGTCCTGAAGAGCTAAGTTCTGATCATACCAGCACGAGAAGGTTGGTTGAGAGAGGGGCTGGGATCTGTTGCTGTGGTGGAGGAAGGGATAAGTCGGGGAAGGCCTCCAAGAAGAGGTCATATTTGGGCCCAGGGAAAGTGAGATTTGGAAATTTGCAGGCTGAGCAGGAGTGGAAGGAAGACGAGAGACATGGTGAGAATATTGTTTGGGCTGACGCAGGAGTGAGAAGAGAGAAGGACGTCGGAAGGAAAGACAGGGTGAGGTGGGGCCACAGAAGGCCTGGGTATCCAGAGCCAGGATGTCCTGTTAAGGGGTGGGGGTCACTGAACTTTCTGGTGACTTCGTCTGAGGAGACAAGAGACAGGCACAAAGACAGGAACAGGTTAGTTAGGAGCCTGGGCCTCAGTCAGACAGAGTGGGTTTGAGTCCCAGGTCCTCCAAGCACCCACCTTGTGACATTGAGCAAGTCATTTGCCCCTCTGAGCCTCGACTTTCTTCTCTGTTCAGTGGGGTTAGTGTAGGATAAAATGAGTTAAAGAAGAGAAAGCACATAGCCCAGTGCGTGGTCCCTGGTAAGCTGTGGGTAAACAGGAGTGCTCTCGGTCACACAGAGGCAGCCATTGAGTAAGGCCAAGCAGGTGTGGGCTGTGGGGACGAGGGTGGGGATCCAGTGGTGGCAGCCAGAGGAGGGAGGCTTCATCATGGAGCTGGGCCTCCTGTCTATCACTGGTCCCAGCAGACTCTTGTACCTGGAGGCACCGACCAGGAGGTAAAAGCCACTGCCACCCCAAGGACAGCAGCCTGAGGGCTGAAGGTGTAAAAGCAATCCCAGGGACCACCATAAAGACACATATAAGCGCTTCCTGCCACCCCGACCTGGGGCCAGATGGGACACACTGCCCACTGGGGTCCCAGGAGCCCTGTGCCTTAAAAGTCTCCCTTTGCAAGTCTCAGATTCCTCCTCTGGCCCATGACCTCCCCTCCCTTCGAGGGTGTTCGGAGTGGTCAGAGACCGTTAATGGAAATCACCTGGCACAGAACAGGTGCTCAGTTTGTGCCCACGGGCAAAGGGTGAGACCCCCCCCCCCCCCAGCTCTCTGTGGGGAGGACATCCGGCGACGGTGAGGCTGGAGGGTCGGGCAGGACAGAGGCCACTTCTCAGCCTCAGAGGACAAAGCAGGACTTTTGGTAAATAGAAAAAGGCACTCCAGGTGGAGGGACCGGCCTGTTCTCAGGCACGCCTTACCACCTGTCCCAAGGGCAGCGAGGAGCCTTTCCCTTGTGTGGAGGAGTGACGTGCTCAGGTTTGTGTTTTAGAGAGCTCACTCTGGCTGCAGTGTGGAGGAAGAGCTGGCTCTGGGAGAGGCTGAAGGCAGGGAGTCCAGTTAGGAGGCTGGGACCGTAGCCCAGGTGAGCTGTGAGAGGAGGGCCTGGCCTGGGCCAGCGGCTGCGGGTATCCCAAGGAGGGGCCCACCCAAGATATAAGAGGTAGAAACCTCCCGCTGGGGGGGGGGGAGGGGGGGCAGAGACCTCGGACACCCTCCACCTAACCAGTGAGTCCCGAAGTAAGAGGGAGGAGAGGAGGCCAGTGCTGGCAAAGTGGGGTCTGGGGTGCCCAGAGGCGGGCGGGTGGGCAGGCAGGTACCGGAGGCTGACTCTGACTGGCTGTGAGTGCCGACACAGGGGCAGCCAAGGTGCCTCCCTGGAGAGGGCAGGGCCAGGCCTTCCCCTCCTGGTTTCTGTAAGACCCCTCACCACCACCACCCTCATCACCGCCTCCATCACCACCCCTCACCTCCAGGCACTTGCTGGTTCGAGGCTCAAGGGGCTGAGGTGGGGCAGGCCCCTGATTCCAGCCTTGGCCGGCCCGGCTGTGTCCACTACCCCTTGGATGAATCTTTGCCCCTTTCCCCATCCCTCAGAACTGCCTTAGGAGGCACTGCCAGCCCCCTGGATTCCAGTGCCTCCCTGACAAGCCCACCCTGTGTTTCTTCCCCCTGCTGCAGATGGCCGTGGGACCCCCTGACTGCCCTGTGGGAGGGCCGCTGACTTTCCCAGGCCGGGGTTCTGGGGCTGGGGTGGGGGCAGCCCTGGCCCCACTGCCGCCCCCCAAGATGCCTCCCCCCACGATCCTCAGCGCCGTCCCTCGGCAGATGTTCAGCGACGCGGGCAGCGGGGACGATGCCCTGGACGGGGATGATGACCTGGTGATCGACATTCCGGAGTGACACCCCCACCCCCACCCCCGGCCAAGCCCTTGCCCCATGCCCGATGCCAGCACACACGAGCCCCCAGCTTCCGCAGAGACGTTTATTGACGCCCAGTTGCCATGCTGCGGCCACTGACACAATCAGAAAAGGCGTAAACATGCACGAACGTCCCCTGGAAGGTGGGTCCCCACTGGGGAGGGCACAGGCCCTGCCCTCACATCCCAGCCCCATCCAGGGGACAGTTATTTAAATGAGTGGCCAGGAGCACTGCCACCTCTCCGAGAGGCAGAGACCCTGCGGTGGCCCCCCACTTAAAAGGGCAGCTGTACAGGGCTAGGTTGGTTGGTTGGTTTTTAACGAAGATTCTGTATTAAAGGAGTGGCTCTTTTTTGTTTTTCGTCCTCTTTTTTGGAAACATTCTCCTCCTCCAAACCCCCCCCTAATCCGACCTCCTCCCTGCGGGGCCGAGGGGGACGGGGCAGCCTGGAGAGGCAGGAGAGAGGAGCGCAGCCCCCTGCAGGTGTGCACAGGATGGGTGTTTGCATATTTGCGTAGTAGCGAGTCAGGCAGGAGGAAGTTTGCATATGTGAATATAGATCTCCACGGTCCCTCACGAGAAGACAGACCCACGGTCACGCAGACTCTCACAAGATAAGACAGGTAGTGGGGGGCGGGGCTTCCACCCCGTGTAAACGTGCAACACACTCGTGCGAAGGTTGGGTACTGGACCGGCCCCAGGGGAGGGGGGGGCCCTGTGCTGGGCAGGTGTGGTCCCGCTCAGGCCGAGGGCAGAGCCCCGGCCGCAGGGGGCAGCTCGCTGGTGAGGGTGTGCCAGCGTTCCAGGGCTGCGTCCGGCTGCTGCAGACAGTCACGCCAGTGCTTCCGGGCCTCTCCCCGAGCCCCAGGCCCCAGGGACACGCCACCTGGGAAGCAGGGAGAGGCAGGCAAAAGCAGGGCCCATCTCACTGCGGGTCTGCGCCCCCCCACCCCCATCAGCGCCACCCAGCAGGCTTCCCTCCTCACCGATGAAGTCGTTGGATTTGCCGATGTCATAGTCCCAGACTGTGACTTCCAGAGTCTTGGTGGCCAGAGCAGAGAGCTCCATCTCGTAGAAGAAGTCCTGGGGCAGAGCAGGCCACATCTTCCCTGAGGCCCTGGCCCATGTCCTGAGCCCCAGCCCCCCTTGATTTCTGAGCCCTGCCCCACTTACCTCGTTAAATTCTGGATTGAGAGTCTTCTTCTTCACACACGTTTTATGCTTGGATTTTTTATCCACGTCAGGCCTCAGGTACCTGCCGAGGAGGGGGTGGCGGAGGAGTGCGGAGGTCAGGGGCAGGTGAGGCCCCGGGGGAGGATGGGGCAGAGGTCAGGCTCCCTGGGGAGGGAGGGGTGGGCTCACGTCTTGACGTAGGGGTCGGAGTAGCCATTGACGTCCATGGCGGCCAAGTGGGCGCAGCGCACGATGCCCACCAGCAGCCCCTGGCGCCGAGAGCTGTAGCTGAGACTCAGCAGGATGCGCCCACGCTCTTCCAGCAGCCCGGGGCCCTGCTCTGCCTGTTCCAGCTGTGGGGCAGACGCAGGGGTCAGCCTGCATCCTCACCACCCCCCACCCAGGTGTGGTCCCTGTGAGGTGCCTCACCTCCTTCAGGTAACAGGAGATGCCCCTCAGCGCTGCTGACATGGAGGAGGGTGAAGCCAGCTGAGGGGGCAGAGAGAAGGTTCTGGAAACTGGCCTCCCCAGGGCCCGCTCCCCCCACCCGGCACCCCATAGCCCCACACAGACCGGGACCTGGCGCTCAAGGCAGATGTTAAAATGTTTCTTCTGTGAAGGCTTGAGGCGGCGGAGGGGTACTCTGATCTCCCCAATGAATTCATTGTGGCTCAGCTTGTCCTCGTCACAGACGGAGATCCTGGCAGGGAACTGCAGGGTCAGGGCCCCCTGGCGTACCTGAACCTGCTCCAGTGTGGGGAGAAGGGTCCTCCGACCAAACTCTGAGCACCTGAAGCCAGTGCTAGCTGTACCCTAAATACTCTGCGCCTCGCCTGTCTCACGGGCCGTGTGGTGAGCACCAGGCCCGGAGCTTGAGAAGGGTGCTTTGATTTGCCCTGTTCCTCCACCCCTCCCTTTCCAGCTGCCCAGGCCATTCCCGGTCCATCAGGACCTGCGCCGCCACTGTAGGAAGCCCTCCCAGATCTTGAGGCCCACTACCCTCCACTGCCTCCACTCAAGAGCCTGGGGACAGGATCCAACTGAATGTGCCCAGGGCATGCACTGGTGGATGTGGGTCACAGATTCAGTATGTGAGGGCTAGAAGGGCCTTGAGCAGCTTTGCGCAGCGGGACAAGGATCCCACACCTCCTCTGACGCTCCTGTCCTTTTCTGCATGGAGCCGGGGAACCAGCCTGGGAGGGATACGGGAGCCCAGCCATGAAGCAATGGTTGCTTTTAGTTCCATGCGTCCCCTCCTGCAGCCCCCTGCACTTTCTTTTGTCCTGATGCTCTTGAGGAGCTATGTCATGTAGGGATATTTATACCCCAGCTCTGCCACTTGCTGGCCACCTATGTGACCTTGGACAAGTCACTTAAGCTCCCTCTACCTCAATCCCACCTCTAAATGGAGATAATGAGTACCTACCTCCCAGAACTACTGGGATCAAGGGAAATAAATGTAAAGACGCATAGCCCAGGGCTGGGAGCACTAGTGAGCACTCAGTTATTGGGCCTAATTCTCTCCCATCTGAAAGATGGGCCAGCCTTCCTGGAGTCAGGTCTGCCCTTCCCTCCAGTCTGCCTCACAGCCAACATCAGGGCGATCTCCAAAACACAACCCTGACTGTGCGCCTGCCCCAGTACAAACCTTCCCCTGGTTTCCCAATTTGCCAAGAGCGCCGATAAAGGTCTCCCAAGCCTGGGTTTTGCTGCCCTTCACTCAGGTCGGGGACTACACCCCTTACAGCTCCCTCTCCTGGGGTGATGGAGCAGGTTTCCTGTCCTGATGGATGTTAGGGAGACACAGGCAACAGCATGGTTGCTACACAGGTCTGACTTGTCAGGGGCTCTGAGGAGGGGTCTCGGTGACCAGAGAAAGCTTCCAGGAAGAGGCACAGCCTAAATTTTGAGTGGGATTTAGTCTGGCCAAGAGAGAGGAAGCAGGGAGCATTTTCCATGGAAGAGACACAACAGGCAAAGGTCAGGAGCATAGAACCACTCCGAAGACAGCAGTCCTCTGTTGGAGCAGCAGTAGGAGGAGATATTTGGGGAACAGGAATGCCAGGGAAACCTCTGGCCTACTGCCGAAGGGGATGGAGAGCCCATGATCGTTCTTTAGCATCTGAGAGGCACTTAATGGGAGGCAGATCAACCAAAGAAGGTGCCAATGACAGCTGTCCCAGAGGACAGCTGAGATGGAATTCTTGGTAACAGGGAGAAAGGAGCGCTCACCTGAGCACCTTGTGGGTGATGTCATCATCCGTGATCCCACTGTACGTCAGATCTTCATTCCACACGGGATTCAGCGTGTTCCTCTGAGTCTTAGTTTTTAGCTTATTGGCCTGAGGTGTGGGGGCAAACGTTCTCAGGACATGTCCCCCTGACCCGTGGAGGCTGAAGGTAGGGGAAGGTTGGGGGCAGACCCACAGGCCGGGTCAGGCTAGGGG